GTTGAGGCGCGGCAGCCTCGCGCCCTGAGCTGGGAGCCGAGGTCTCGGTCTCCTCGAGAGCTGCTTTACCACATGAATTCATGTCTGTGTCCGCGTTGCCTCATCCCTAAATCAGGAAGTGCCCGCTTGGACGGGTGTGAGGGTAATCTGTCAACATTATCGCTTGTTGGAAAGCTGAAAATTTGCCAGTGGATCACCTGGGTCGTTGTGCAATGAGTTTTTAAGTGTTTGCCACAGCTTTCTGTCAGGTTTTCCCGTTAGCGTAGTTTCAACGTTGTTGCCTGTGAAGTGCCTTTTTCTCATAGGCTGGGAATTGCAAAGGGATTTAGCTGCGCAACTGCCTTTGGCTGTGGAAGCTAAAGATGAAAGAGTTTTAGACAGAAAAATAAGCAGTTTGTTTGGTTCGTTTGTTACGTAACGTTTTCCAGTCCTTCAGAAGCACTCCTACGTTCATGCTAGGTTAATGACAACAAGCTCAACGTGGCTAATATAAATAAAACATGCATACTGCAATTTGGTAATCTGGCTTACCTGTTGCTTAAGATAGCCTGAGTTGGGTGGTTGGTAGCTCAGGGAATCGGATTGAAACATCTGTTTTTGCACCTGTTTTTGTCTCATCAGTGTTGAGTGCTGCCACCTGTGTGAAAGAGGAAAAAGTCATTGTAATATGAAGAGATCGGAGGAGCGAGAAGAGTGTGCTCCTTATTTGGGCTGACCAGAAAGAGAAGATTTATGTGGTTTGCAAGTCTCTTGTTCATGCTGTCCAAAAAAAAAAAAAATCCACTCAAATGTTGTTTGCATTGGCTTGCTTCAAGCAGCAAAGACAGCATTTTCTTTCAGTGTTTTTTTTCCCAAATTGTTGTCAAACATTTTCTTCTGCAACCTGCCCTGAAATGGGATAATTTGTATTAATTCCTATCCTAAGCCCTGTCCCTTATACATCCCTTTCTGGATGTGAGTCAGAGGGTCAGGTTGACGAGAAAGTACTTCAGTCAGGCTGCTGGTCATAGCATCTTGTACCCGAGCACGGATATACTGCTGCTGTACCTCTGCCCTGCTCAGCTCAGTGCGGTCGTCTCCATACGACGAGAGGCAAGTCCTTTCCAGAGAGCCGACCACCAACGCGTGCACGCTGACCACCCCACTGCAAACTTTTGGCTTTTACCCTTCTGTTCCCACTGCTGCCTTCTTTATGTGTCACGTGAGGGGAATTTTTGAAGGGAAACAGGAAAGAAGAGGCTTGAGGAAGCAGGGCTAGGTGGAATCTCCTTTTCTTTTCCTTTTCACTTTTCCTTTCCCTGCACTCCCCAAAGTGGCTAGTCCTCCCTCCAGCGTGAAAGTTTGTGCTTTAAAAAGATTCCTGCTTTGATCCATATAGTATTTTTACTTCCTCTCTATAAACCCCTGATATACAGAAGCTACTCTTTTGCATTTTGTTATTTCTGCCGTAGCATAAAGGGAATATGGAGTAAGATCCATCATTCCACCAATTTGGCGTCTTTCTTAACAGAGCATCCTGGGATATCGAGAAAAATCAAAGGAAAAAAGATAAGAAAAAGAAGCAGATATGAAAGTGGAAAAGAAATAGAAGGGCAAGGAAGAAGAGATGGAGGGAAGGAAGGAAAGAAAGAAAAATAGGGAAGTGTACAGTGTTGGAAAAAAAGGTAAATACAAAAAAAAGCTAAGAGCTTTTTCTTATTATTTCAATCCAAGATATTCTGCCAAGCAATCTATTTCCAAACTATGTTCATTCCAGCTGTTTTGCAGTCTCACCTTCAAAGGTAAGAATCCTATTTTCAAAGTGGATGGGAAGTTATGACATTGTAGGTTTGAATGGAAGTTATTTCAGCATGGTTGCCATTCCCAAAAGTACTTCTCAACTTTTTCTAAATAAGCATAATTTCTTTTATCTGTGAAATGAAGCTGAAGGCAAAAGTCATTTTTCATCGGAACCTTAAAAGAGTTTTGCAAGAAGCTAGAAAAAGTGAAATGTGAAAAAAGAACAAAGAGTTCTTCACACGATTGCAGAATTTTACTAGTTAGTTAATTTGATAATAAATTAACTATTACAGCGTGTGGTGAATAGAGACATTGATTCTGATGCCACCTGTACTTTTCTGCTCAGGTGTTGAAATGTGTGTTTAACCGATAGCCATATCCAGGTCTGTTACTGCTGGTGTATTTTTCAGGGAGGAGTTGTTTTCTAAATTGCAGCCAAGAGAAAAGTTGTGCCTAGTTATTGTAGGATTTATTCTGCACTTAAAAACACATTAACAAATACAAAAATCTATAGCAATAGTTAAACAAACATAAGTATTTATATTACAGTAATGAATAAAGTAGTTAATACTAAGATATCTGCTTTTATGCATGAACAGATTCTCTCATTTTTAGGATATGAGTATTTTCCTTATAGAAACCTTGTCCGCATTGCCTCATCCCTAAATCAGGAAGTGCCCACTCGGACAGGTGTGAGGGTAATCTGTCAACGTTATCGCTTGTTGGAAAGCTGAAAATTTGCCAGTGGATCACCTGGGTCGTTGTGCAATGAGTTTTTAAGTGTTTGCCACAGCTTTCTGTCAGGTTTTCCGGTTAGTCTAGCTTCAACATTGTTCATTTTTAGGATATGAGTATTTTCCTTATAGAAACCTCCCTCCCCCCCCCACCCCCCCGTGTCTTTTGGAGGCCTGACTACATTTTACAGAGCCTATTTTAAGTATGTTAGTGGCTAATTTATACAGTGGCTATTTTATGTCTAGCAACTGATAGTTATTATTTCTTCTTCCTGTTTCTGCTCCCCAGGTCTTCTTTTGTGAGGTACTGTTTTTCATATTTTTCTTTTCTTATGGCTTCTTGAGACTTAACATTGTCATAAGTGTGTTTTATACTTTTGAATAGTTATCATAAATATATGAAATTTCCCTCTAAGTAGGATTTTAAAAGAGAATACGTAAATAAATTCTGATATGGCAGCAAATCATTCTTGGTTACATACAGCTCTCAAATGAGATTTGCTTTTATTTCTGAAAGTTCTGGATTTGTATCTCAAGCTTTTTACTCTTGAAGGATATATAAGACTCTACTAAACTGCTTTTATGCATAATTACTACTTATGGGGAGTTGTCCTTCTTCTAACTGAAGCACAGAGATTCTTTTCAACTAATGAGCCCAATGATCTAACTGTTCAAGTAGCCTGGTCTGGATAGTAAATTTAGCTATTTCTTATCTGTACAGCATGTACGTATTTATAGTTTGCAATTAGCCTGGATGGAGTGCTTGGTATAACTGAAGTTATTTAGTGGGACTCTGACTATGTTCTCTTTTTGTTGCGAGTAAAACCCTCCCTCTGACAATCAACACTGCGTTGGTACCCGTAACTGCTGTTCGGAGTGTACTGCTATGGTATGCCTCCTAATGTAAAATTACACCAAAACCCATATTTGGTTGATAATACTGTCATCAAACAATATCAAGTTTTGTTTGTAGAAACCTGTGTCATTGCAGGGCTGGCCTGGCTCTGGGTGCAAGGCAGGCAGCAGCAGGGGAGCGCCGGGGGGGACACCACCCCTGGTGGGTTGGGCCGGAGTGAGGGGTTGGCAGGGCCCATGCTATGTGCTTCCTTATTGGGTGTATGGGTTTTCTTGGGAATTCCTTGTCAAGGTATTAAAGGGTGTGATACTAAGGGAATTGTTAGGTGTAAGTTCTAGCTTAGCGCTACGAATAATTTCAAAGTTCTGAGGTGACTTTCCTGTTTAGATATTCTTCCGTTAAATGTTATTCCCCACTAATGTTGACTGTGTGGTCAGATGTAGTGGCAAAGTCCTTGAAAAGCTATGCTGTCTACTCTGAGGGGAATGCTTTATTCTTTTCCTGTAAAGTGCTTGGCAAGCTTTGTTTCAAATTCAGGTGGTCCTTTTCAAAATATACTTGCATTCAGTTTGATTATTTATTTTTGTTTGGTTGAGTGAAATAAATAATATTCTCTCTGCTCAGAAAGCTGCTGGGAATTACTTTCTCAGAGTTAGGTTTAGCCAAGTCTAAAGAAGACTATAATTCTATATAATTCTAGTTTGTTGTAGGTATCAGGTCTAAGGTATTACTGAAAAGCACTTGATACAGTGTTTAAAAATATTCTGGGTGCAGAAAATATTCCACTTCTGAACTTATTTTAGGACAAGTAAATGGAGTTGTGTAATATAGAGAGTTTCTATTTAGTTCTATTTAGGGCATGCTCAAACCCTCAAGGTCCAAGAGTTGTCTTTTTTTTTTTTTTTTTGGATAAATGTCTCTTTTCTCTTATTTTCTTGAAAGCGACTACCAATCTTTTAT